CTCAAACAAACGCCTCTGTTGTAAAGGTGAAAAAAAAAATGCGGAACGACAGAACAACAGAAACCTGGAAGTGGTTTCACTTTGTCAACTTGACGGAGCAGGCAGAGAAAACCTGCCAAACCTGAGGCGGAAAAGGCTGATCGCGCTCACTGCCGGTGTTGAGCCGAGAAAAGCACCCCTGCTGACTGAAACACTTTCTTAAAGGAAGTGGATATTAATTAGATTGGCTGTTAATAAATTTGAGGAGCTTACTAAAGACAGGCGTGAGAATAGCCAACTTTCGTTCGTTTTTTTAATGCGCATAATGAACACTGAAATGCGCTTCCTGTGAGGGAGGGGGGTCTTAAAAGACAGGGGTGTTTTTTTTCGGCAAAACACTGAGCCAGGCCCAAAAAGAGCCTGCGGTGCGGCGAAGGGAGGAAACCGCAGAGCGACTGGACTCACAATACACCATTTTATTTTGGTTCGTCCAGTGACACAGAAGCGACGCCAGAACATTTTCTCACATTAAGGCAATTTCAACACTTCAGGACCGCACAAGGGCAGAGTTTCACAGAAACCGCCAGGCATGTGTAGGAACCAGATCGGCTACAACAGCTAGCCTAGCTTTAACAGTGAATTCATTCATATGACCACTGGGACAAATTACAACAATTGGCCCGTTAGTGGGATTAATTAGAAAGGAAATAAACAAATAAATAAAATTCCCCCGAGTTTAAGCACAAGCAGGCGATCATGGAGTACACGGAAGTGGCAAACAAAATAGTTGCAGTGAGGCGAGCTAGCTCCACAGCTAGCAAGGCAGAGGCTAACTATGCTAACGAGAGGCTACAAGCGACATAGTGTTAATTTATTCCCCGAATAACAACCGAGCGACTCCTAGAAAACTCTCACGGTGTCTTACACGCGTGCACGCACACTATTCGTTGTCAGGCGTACCTTTATAATCCTACGAGGCAAACCGGCCATCTTGTGTTAGCAGTTATATTTGTAGCCGCTGACTCGCCCTGTCTTCAGGTTGGATTGAGCGAAGTGCCGGGGCGGGGACTGATAACTCACTCCTCTGGTACATTCAGATGATGACCTAACGATGTGTGGATCCAGTAGCTACACATTCAAAAGTTCACATAGATTAATTAAAATAGAGTATTATTTAAATGCTATTTTATGTCAGTGACTATTTCACTAAGTGAAGCACTTTATATAGACTTAATTACACACAGACTGATGTTTTCCAGCCGTTTTTATTCTCTAATTAGAAATTTTCTCTAAGAGCTATGAAACACATTTGAATTCAGAATATATCACCTGGTTAAAGGTTATTTTTCAAAAGGTTATTTTGATCCGATAAACTCGAGCGAATGCATATACTAATCTCCTGAAGAGAACTTTGACTGGGCCATCCAACACATGTGCAGTGGCTCCCAGACTCAGTAATCCAGAGCTTATGTTTAAATCAAATGAATGGCTCATCGCCAGGTTTTAGCAATTTTCTCTGTCCCAGTTTCAGGTCTTTATTATCCACCAACAGGTTTTCTTTCTCTTGTCTTTTGTGCCCTCAAGGCTTTGGAACTCCCTCATTCCTTTCATTTGTTTTGAAGCACTTTCTTTTACCTTGACAGGTACTAAAGGTTTAATTACTTCTTTTTTAAGCGTCCAGATTTTGTCAGGACAAAGACTAGTTAAAGTATCATTCATCTTTCCTTTATGTCTGAACAGCTTCCCTGAACCTACAGGGAAAAAAAACCCATTCAAACAGCAGTATGGTGGCTTCTCCGTAGTGTTATACAGTGAGAATAGGTGCATCTTGGCATTTATGCAGTGTTAAGTCCTTTGTCTTTGCATTTAGGCTCAAAAGTAACATTTTTGGTCTCATCTCACCACAGCAACTTCTTCATGAATGTGTTGCAAACTGTAAACAGTGCTTTCTTGCCATTCCATAAAGGCTATTTATTCATTTTTTCATAATAGCACAAAATATACAGATGAACATGGTAAGGGAACTGCACAAAATGCTAAATGTAAATAAACATGTTTAGATTTTCAATCTTAATATACAAAACTGAAGAAAAAAAAAGTTGAGTCTCATCATCAAATTTCAAACAATTGTTTTGAATTTAGCACAAATACCGCAGGGAAAACAATCCCACATTACGCTGTTGATTTTGTTTTACTTTTTTAGTTTTAAGTGTCTATAAACTTTAGTTTGTAATATAAATATGGGATAACATTTCTCACCTTGGGAAAGAAAAAAGGAACATGTCATTTAGATAAACAGCAACACGAAAATAGCTTCTTGTAGCAATTAAGAACTCAAGTTCTCATGTTCAGACAAAGCAATACTTAAAAATGAACTGTTATAAAAAAAATATCCATGTTTATCTAACCAGCAGTGAGGAATATGCCGACAAAGGTTTAATAAAAAATATTTAGCAGAAAAAACAAATCTTAGATCTATAAACTAATATGCTAACAAGCTACTACATATAAGGGGAGGACAGGTAAAGAACAACAGACTGAATATTCACCAGTTTATTAAACAATGTTTTAACAAGTCAAACATCAGTTTATGCACGTTGATTATCTGTCCTTAGGGGGGGTTTTATTGATGCGCCTCGAGACGTACCTGTGGACAGTGAAAAAGATTGCTTGATATTAGCAAATAACAATTCCAATATCAGATAGTGAAGAAATAAAAACAAGATAGGCCTGGTCTATACAGTAGACATACAAATAGGAACAGAGCAGTATTGTTAATGTGAGAAAAGTAGAAGAAATTGTATAATCACCTTTAACTGGTGTAACACCAGTTTTAGTTTTGTCTTACACAAACTACAAAGAGCAAAAAGCATTTTCACGCTTGTCATTTTAAGCAACAGTTCAATTCAAAGTAATTGAACTGGGAAGAGAAAAAATATATATTTAGGTTTTTAGAAATGTGATGTGTATGTGTATTAAGCCCTCTTGAGTTTGTTGAGCTAACTTTAGCTGCAAATCTTTCGCAGTGGGGAAGAACTTTTATCTTTTTCTTACCCACTTCAAAAGAGTCAAAATCTCAGGGCATCTTTCCTGTCTCTCCTGTCAAAATGTAACCCCAAAAAGCACAATGCCGCCACCGTGTCTCATGGTCGAAATGACACCAGATTTCTTCCTTAAAGAATTATAAAAACCATCCATCATTTTTGTTGCAACTCACATTGTGGCACCCCTCCTTGTTTGCTTCTCTCATAAAATCCCAATAGACCACAGTGAAGTTTGGTTGAAATGTAAAAACGCCAAGGTATGAAATACATTTGTTAGATTCCACTTCTTTAAAAGTTGTTGTAAATGTATACTTACTGTCCTTTAGGATAAAAGCGGTGTTTGGTGGTGAAGAACATCTTGCTCAGCTCCTCTATAGTCGGCCCCTTTTTGCCATCCAGCACCTCTTTGCTGAGGTGGGCTTTCAAAATTTGATTGTGGGTTTCTGCTGGGTTGGTCAAAGGGTCTGGTCGCTCTATGGGCTGCAGGGGTATACACACATTAGGGTTTTTTTAATGTGCACACTCATATTGCTTATCCTATGACACATGTAGCGTGATATTGCAGTTCAAGAACAACTTCATGAGTTTAAATAGTCAAAAAAATAATGTTTCACTTCTCGATGTGGTTTCACAAGACAATCAGGCAAACGGTTTGGCCTGAGCGCAGAGCAGGTGAGCTTACCTGAGTGAGCTCATATGGAACGTCAACAGCAGGATGGTAGCACACTATGGTTTTCCCATCAGATGTAACACCTATTTCCACCTCACTAAATGATAGAAATGAAGAAGTTAATGTCCCAAGATGTAGCTCAACAATTTGGGTGTTTTGTTTTACTTCATGCAACTAAATTAAAATTTTGAATGTTATTTTTTCTACAATAATGCATATCTAAGAGGATCAAAAGATTTTAGAGTTGATCCATTTTTTCTGTAATCATCCCTCATCTGTTAAATGTTCTAACAACTAATAATTCTTACAGATAGTAAATTTAAACATTTAGATTTACATATCACAGTAAAATGTTTTGAGACAGATCAAAATAATGTTTTTCACTAATAAGTGCATAAGGTTTATGCAAAATGTTTTGATATTCACAATTAATATTGTGAATATCACAATTAATATTCACAATTAATATTGTGAATATCAACAAAACCATAAGGTTTGTGGGGAGAACTGCCAGTCTCAAAGCTTGAGGCCACCGCCGCCCAGAGTGTATTTAGACAGAGAGACACATTCAAAGTAACACACCAGTTATGGCCTTGAATTAATGAAGGGTTAACCCCGGACTTCTGTCGAAGTGGCACCAAACACGCTGCAAAGGAAAAAAAAACAGGAATACAATTCGTCATCAAGACAACATCAAGGTCCAGCGAAAGTGTCACAAAAACGACTATAAATTGACTAGAGGGGCACCTTATCCATTTCCTAAAACAAACAAGATACATAGCTATATTGAGAAGATAACTGTTATCTTTCTGGACAGACGTCAAGGTTAGCCCCACTGTTAGCCTTAGCCGCTATCGTCAGTGTTTAAGGCACTTTAAATGGGAAACTCAACTATTATAAAACTGTTCTGGGTTCGCTCTGAGTGAAAACAATACTTACTTTGCACATTTCTCAGCGTGGCACCGTGTAAAAGCCGAGATGCTGAGCTGTGCAGCTTGCACAAGTGACCCGACGCCATGCCCGGTTATTGTGGAGTGTGCGTCAAAATAATGGTTCCGACCAAGCAATCCGATCAAAGGTTCCTATGTTCTACTAACGAACTACCTGAATAAATAACAACTTTATTTTTAAGTTAAAAATCTTAAAAGGTAAAGACGTTATTTTCCCCAGCAGCCTATGATGCCAGACCGGAGAATGCTTCTGTATTTTCATGGAATCTTACTGAAATGTTGATGGACCAACCCAAAGTTATGTTGTAAAATACCAGTGTCTTAGATACTTCAGCAGAAATGATTGTGTTCTTCCACTACATTGCAACAAAATTTATTCAAAACCCACTTCGATTCATTACAACTCATGAACAGTTTTTAATTGCTTTAAACAGATTTAAATGGTGCTAATGTTGTTTATGAACAGGAACCAAAACCTCAGCAAGATATCTCTAAACAATCTATAGCACATTTGATCTACTTTAAACAAAATGTTCCGTTTTACAACTGAACATCAAACAAAAACCAATGGTAATATTAGGATCCACATAAAAAAATAAAAACAGAATCAACTGCAACATATCTGGTAACTTTACATTTGTAATTATTATAAAACACTTTAATTGACGTATTTTGTGTGAACGTTAAATCACTACTACTACTCTTAATAGCGATTTGTACTTGTAATGCACAGAGAGAGGCACGGGGGCAAAGATCTGAGAAAATGTGAACAATGTGTACCAGCGCAGTTATAAAAAATTGCATTTCTGCCTCCATCAGATAATGTCATCTAATTATTGTGATTTCCATTTTATTAACAAGTTTGTGTTCCAGTCTTTTTAGATACATGTTGGTCAGTCCTTATTAAACGCTGTGAGTTCAGATTTATCTAATTCTGCACTTCTCACAGCAAGGCACAACAGAAAAACAGACGATCCAGAAGGTCACTAGGAGATTTCCATGTCTGCTGTGGCTGCAGATGCAGAAGTCTGGCTTCCGGGGTTCACCGTCATGCGCTCTCGGCTGCCGAACACCTCGCTCACTAAAAGGAAACAGCAAAAGAGGCAGCTGTATGAAGAGAGTAAGAAAGTTATAGGAAAAGAAAAACTCAGAGGGATTAGACGTACCTGCAGCAACATCACTTATGTCCCAAATCCGCAAGCCGTCCTTTTGTCCCCCGAAGGCGTAGACGAAGGGCAGATCAGGGCAACACGAAGCACAGAACAGCACCCCCTGTTCACACCACCAAATACAGTTAGGGCCAGAAATATTTGGACAGTAACACAATATTTGTGAGTTGGACTCTGCATGCCACCGCATTGGATTTGAAATGAAACCTCTACAACAGAATTCAAGTGCAGATTGTAACGTTTAATTTAAAGGGTTGAACAAAAATATGTGATAGAAAATGTAGGAATTGTACACATTTGTTTACAAACACTCCACATTTTAGGAGCTCAAAAGTAATTGGACATATAAACATAACCCAAACAAAAAAGTTTTTTCTCAATATTTTGTTGCGAATTCTTTGGAGGCAATCACTGCCTTAAGTCTGGAACCCATGGACATCACCAAACGCTGGGTTTCCTCCTTCTTAATGCTTTGCCAGGCCTTTACAGCCGCAGCCTTCAGGTCTTGCTTGTTAGTGGGTCTTTCCGTCTGAAGTCTGGATTTGAGCAAGTGAAATGCATGCTCAATTGGGTTAAGATCTGGTGATTGACTTGGCCATTGCAGAATATTCCACCTTTTTGCTCTCATGAACTCCTGGGTAGCTTTGGCTGTATGCTTGGGGTCATTATCCATCTGTACTGTGAAGCGCCGTCCGATCAACTTTGCAGCATTTGGCTGAATCTGGGCTGACAGTATCCCGTACACTTCAGAATTCATCCGGCTACTCTTGTCTGCTGTTATGTCATCAATAAACACAAGTGACCCAGTGCCATTGAAAGCTGCATGCCCATGCCATCACGTTGCCTCCACCATGTTTTACAGAGGATGTGGTGTGCCTTGGATCATGTGCCGTTCCCTTTCTTCTCCAAACTTTTTTCTTCCCATCATTCTGGTACAGGTTGATCTTTGTCTCATCTGTCCATAGAATACTTTTCCAGAACTGGGCTGGCTTCTTGAGGTGTTTTGGGCAAATTTAACTCTGGCCTGTCTATTTTTGGAATTGATGAATGGTTTGCATCTACATGTGAACCCTTTGTATTTGCTATCATGGAGTCTTCTCTTTACTGTTGACTTAGAGACAGATACACCTACTTCCCTGAGAGTGTTCTGGACCTCAGTTGATGTTGTGAACGGGTCCTTCTTCACCAAAGAAAGTATGCGGCGATCATCCACCACTGTTGTCTTCCGTGGACGCCCAGGCCTTTTTGAGTTCCCAAGCTCACCAGTCAATTCCTTTCCTCAGAATGTACCAGACTGTTGATTTTGCTACTCCAAGCATGTCTGCTATCTCTCTGATGGATTTTTTCCTTTTTTTAAGCCTCAGGATGTTCTGCTTCACCTCAATTGAGAGCTCCTTTGACCGCATGTTGTCTGGTCACAGCAACAGCTTCCAAATGCAAAACCACACACCTGGAAACAACCCCAGACCTTTTAACTACTTACTTGATTACAGGTTAAAGGGAAAGGCCTTTTGAGTTACTTGCAGCCTTTGGAGTCCATTGTCCAATTACTTTTGGTCCCTTGAAAAAGAGGAGGCTCTGCATTACAGAGCTATGATTCCTAAACCCTTTCTCCGATTTGATGTGGAAACTCTCATATTGCAGCTGGGAGTGTGCACTTTCAGCCCATACTATATATAAATTGTATTTCTGAACATATTTTTGTCAACAGCTAAAATAACAAAACCTGTGTCACTGTCCAAATATTTCTGGCCCTAACTGTACATTTCAATTCACCACCCAAAAACTTAAGACATTCCACAGGGACAGCTTCATCTAAAATTATTCAACCCTCAACTCTAAAATAGTGTATGCCAATTCTCACCATTTTCATGTCTCGAGAGTGCACCAGGCTGGGCTTGTTGCTTAAAATGTCCCAAATCTTTACGTGTTTGTCAGCAGATGAGGTGACGAGACATCCTTTGATCTGGCTGCTGAGGTCTAAACCTGCAAAAGTTCAAGAAAAATGTCATCTTATTCCCCCATAAACGACACAGACCGACAAGACAAAAAAGTTTTCCGTCTGCATCTGACAAACCTGACACTTCTTCGTCGTGTGCTTTTAGTGTGAACAACGGTTTGTCAGAGCGGGCATCTAGACAGTAGACGAACCCGTCTTCTGTGCTGGCCTTAAATACACACATGCGCACACACACAGATAAATACCAACATATACTGCAGCAAGTTATTGTAAATGCGTATGCTTGAAATTCTGAGTATTCACCAGGAAGTTAAAGGGTGAGAAGTGGTTCCAGACCAGCCTCTCCACTTGCCCACTAAACCTCCAGGTTCTGAAGCTGCTGTCTGGATTCCGGCAATCATAAAGGACGGCTGTCCTAAAGAGGAAACCCCGACGTTAATGTGAAACCATGACAAAGATCTGTCGGCAAAGACGCAGTGAAGATCACACTTACTTGTCATATGATCCAGATATCAAGGTTTGTGCCTCGAAGGGATGAAATCTCAATGTCTGGACCTGGAACAAAAGAAGTCGGTTGTTTCACAGTGGCTAAAGGCTGCCCACTCTGAGAAAGCAAATCCAGAACATTTCAGCATCGCAGGGTACCTTGTCTGTATGCTTCCGCAGAGTTGTGGCCGGCTTGCCTTGAGACAGATCCCACAGGACGACCGTGTCGTCTGCAGATCCACTGGCCAGCACATTCCTTAAAATGAGCAAATGTTGGAAATAAAACATCTAAATCATATCAGGTTGACTATTGCAGACGGACAAATGAGGGATGGACAGATGATTTAAGCAACAGTCCGGAAATACAGCTATTGTTGCCATCTTTCATGCTTAGCCAGATCTAATGAATGTTTTAAGACTTTTCCAGAACTGACATTGTAGTGAAAATCACTGACCTGACCAACTTGTTCCAGGACAAATCCAACACTGCATCTGTGTGTCCCTCCACAGGCTCCGCTGCTGCACCCTGCAATACAACACGCAGTGATATGTTCAAACATTTACCACCAAAACAAGCTTTTAATAAGTTATTATGCAACAATGACAGCAATAAAATAGTCAGGCCAACATTAAATAAATCCTCCCCTGCAGGTTATGAAACATTAATAGGATTTTTGCACCTTTTTGCTTTTCTTTTTCTTCTTGGAGGCCTTTTTGCTCCCGAGGGAGAAGACCGGCTCCAAACAATCCACCACATCCAAATCCCACACGTCTATCTGTGGAGTCATGTTGCCCACGGCGACGTAGTTAGCTGCAGAGTGGATGCACAAGGAACATTATTTTGATTTCTTTTTATTAAAGCTTGAAACATGACTTATGAAATAACTGGAGGTTTTATTTTCTTCTTATTCTTGACTGAAGGCTTCGTTACCTCGTCCCTCTTGTGGGTTGGGATCAAAATCCAGCCATTCCACACACAACGGGTAGGCTGGCAGCAGGATGTCGTGATGGACGTACATAGATTCCTCCTCTGAGTTATAAACTGGGAAGTTGCACAACACATTTATGAATGCTCAGTCCTAAAAAAGAATGCACTCGACTTCAATTATGAAATACTGAAACGGGGCTCCAACACGTTTCCACAGACGTGTAATTCTGATTCATTTTTATCAAATAAGTGGATGCTTTAGAAATGTAAACTTTTGTTTTTAGACAAAGAAGCAAAGCAGAAACACTGTTTTTCCATACTACTATTTTTCCAATCGTGGAATAATAAATTGTTCCAGTTTTCCAATCATCAAACACACTCATCATAATAAAAATGATATGTTTACTATAGATCTCTAAGTTGCAGCAGTCCTTCTCCGCTTTGCCAGCCAGGATGAGGTTATCGGTGGGTTTGATTTGGAAGTCTTCTCGCTCATACTGGTCCTAGACGGGGGGTGAGCAAACAGAACCGCACAGGTGGGACTTTAATTGGGACAAATAAGACCCGACAGACCCGATCTGAACAGATACTCACTGTGTCTTTGAGGGTGATGTAGGGATCCTCGTCATTAGAGCTGAACACTGTGAGCCCAGCCAGACTGTCACCAAGGTTCGCAGTAGCTGAATCGGATTCAGTGAAATGTATTAAATATCGTTGACTTTATCTACATATGGTAAAGTTATAAACAAAAAAAGCAACGGTATTTTATTGGTATTGTATGTGATAGACCAAAACAAAATGGCACAAATGTAAAGGGGAAGGGAAATAATACATAAATACATAGAATTGCTATATTAGCAATTGCCAGTTCATATGTTGGCGCCATATTTGCTTGATGGTGAATATGCTGCCAATCATTCAGCACGCATAAAATAAATGCATGCAAATTTTGCAGAATCAGTATGCATTCATTTTTAGCTGTATACTTTTCTTAGATTATGTATTTGACACTACTGTAAGGTTGTATCTTTTACTGTAACCAATTTTATCAGTAAAGATAAAAGAACCATTTTTCTACTCTATTATTCTGCTTCCTCTACCACCATGATGTTATCGCCGCAATATTTCAATGAATACTACTTTCTGCTTAGGCGATGTGCAGTATTATTCTGTACTCCAGACTGGGTTTTAGTAAGAGGTATCAGAGTAAATGTGGGGGGGAATGAGGATGCAGGTCAAGCTTTTTTGAAAACATTTGGAAAACATTTTCCTAGCGTCCTTCCACTTCACAATTCCAGGCCACTTTGTTCTTGTCTCTCAAATATGATGCATTTGAAACACAACTAGTAGCAGCAAAAAGCCTGTGTATATGTTTTTGCAAATGATTTTAATTGCTGCGTAGAAGCGGAGGAACAAATAAAAACACAAACACCCTGCCCTTCACCTGCATCCTCTTCATCATACTTGTCCAGCCCATATTCCGCCAGTTCATCGTCTTCCTCATCTTCATCATTCCCAGTCTTTAGACCCAGGTCATCATCATCATCATCTACTGTTTCTCCAGATGGCTCGTCATCACGTGGAATACCTTCATCTTCCTCCTCATCTTCATCTTCCCCTTCTGCGCCCCTGGGTTCAATGACAAAAAGGCCATATTGTCGCTTGCCACTAAAGTCAAATCAGTGTTTGCATTTGCAGTGATTACCCCAGGTCTTCTCTAGCTTCGGTAATGATGCGTTGAAGCTCCTCTTGACTCAGCTCGACCTGAGAGAAAATAAGACAGAAGCCTTTTTTGCACACGCGTGACAAATAATTTCATTTAATTTCAAGTGATTCTTATATGTGATATTTGTTGAAGTCTTGTTGGAGGAGAAAGTTAGTCCATACATTTATTTTAGACAAACTGAAGTTTTAAAATGTTAGTAAAAACACCTGAACCATGATAACGAAGGCTTTAAACTGCCGTGTTGACAGTTTTCATCGGTGTGTTTATGTTCCCTACCTTGTCAGGGGTTTCCTTGGCAACGCCACGCTTCACCCACCCGACACACGTAATCTGGGAGCTCATAATGTAAAAATACTTTTAGACCAACAGCAGTAAATATCATAAAATGTGCTTTATCCCCCCTTTCTGAAACTGTTTCACCTCAGGCATGCACACAGCGGTACATGTGAGAGATTAGGACCGCTCCTTCTCAGGCCGTCCAAAAAGCTGCCTGACTAAAATTCCGTCAAAGAATTTTACTCAGGCAGTGATAATTCTGCCTGAATTCGGAAAAGGACCGAATTATTTTCGAAATTCCTCACCAAGAGCTGAAGTAAAAATTTCAAGCCTGTCGAAAGTTAGAAAGTGAAACTGGATTTCATAATTTGGCGGACCTCGGTCGTCAAAATACATACTGGAACTCCATCGACGGCGATGTGAGAAAAGGGTGTTGTATTTAATCTTGTCCTCAAGCTGAATGCACCGAAGATGGGTATCTAAACTGGAGAACTAAAGTCAGTTCAACACTGTCTAACACTGTATTTATGTCTGTTTTAGGGACCGTCAAGTTGCCATTTCCCACTAAAACGTTAAAACTTTAATAACTTGGACTTTATCTCACTTAACCTCCCCTTATGGCAGTGCCACTATTAAATTAGAAGTGTGTATGCTACAAAAATAAATAAATAAAATAATCTTGAAGTTGTTAAACTTAAAAAAAACAAACAAAAAAAAACGTTTTGTAGATGGTCACTAACAAGCTAACTGCTTTTGATATTCTTAAAATAAACATCTATTGGTTGTATAAGGCATGGACTATATAATAGAAATGAGACATTAGTCATGATATGGCATGGTGTTCACTGAAGCTGAAAATAGTATTTAGATAAGTAATATCAAATTATTTTGAGACAAGTTCAAAATATTATTTTTGTGTCCAAAAAATGCAAGCAAGGCACAGAGTAAAAGGATCAAACAGGTTTAATGTAATAAAATAAGTGTTTGCTTCTTGTTAAATAATAACAATAATTAAAAAAGCAGTTTAATAACAGCAACACAAATGAACGACAACACAAAAATATATAAAATCGTACTGAACCGATACTGTTTGCATATATTATGAATGTAGTACCGTTGATTAATACAGGTAATAATAAAACTTTGGCTTATACACAATTGCACAACTAAAGATTAAGTGCATTATTTCTTATTCGAGAATGTAACACACCGTTAATGGTTAGCAAAGTAACTTTAAGGAGTAGAAAATGTGCAATATTCATAAATACAGCAACAGAAAGAGAGATTATTGTCACAACAGTAAAAGGTTTACAAAAAATTGACCCCATTTGACAGGATGCATAGACCGTTGGTGTACATTTAAAAATTTACAATTGTCAGCAATCAAAGCAGAAGCTTGTTTAAAAAAGTAAACAAAACAAAAAAGCATTTGGCCAGATCAAACCAGCCGAAGAAATTAAATTTTGTAAACTTTGGTAGTTTTATGGTTGTAACATACAATTATGTTTCACAGATCATCTTGGCCTTTAAATCCAGTATAAAAATGACAAGAAAAGAAACAAAAAAACAAAAAACTATGGTCAGCTCAAATGTTGCTGCATGCTATTTTTAATCCAATACTGATATTATATGAAGGTATTTGAGCAAAGCATGTGTAACCCTTCTATGTTAACATGTACTTTGGTAAAGCTTAAAATGTAACATAAAACTACTGGGACTCAAATGAATCAAGAACTACCAGTCAAATAATTAAAAGGCACAAGATGCTAACAATTCAGCTGAGGAAAATGGTTTGACACTAACCTCTGTTATCAGTTATTTTATAACATTCCCCTTACATACTGGCTCAAAAATCATGACCAACATAAACCAAATATAGTGGTTAGAGGTGGAGGAAAAAGTGATTTCCTCATTTCTTTTGTCTTTGTTTTTCAGACAAATGCATTGTCCTTCAGAGAGCACGAAACATCCAGGTACAGCTTTCAATTATTAATCTTTCACAGTACGTTAAGGATTGTTGGAACAAAAGCAACAAAAACCCAGTAAAACCAGTGAACCAAAGTGTCCCCTGCAGGGAGTTTCTGTCAGTATTCTGAGAGTTCGAGTTCATGGTCTTTGTTTCTTGCTATGTGACTTGTCATGTCTTCTACAGCCGGTTTTAAGCGTTTGGACATCAGGTTCAGGCTAACCTCATGAAGGATTACTTGGGTCAGGTACTTCTCTCGTTTGAGCTGTTCTCTGGTGGTGTACGAGACGTCTGGGATTACGGAGGCGAGGATGAACTTGGTGAGGTACGCAATGTGCTGTGAAGAGGAGATAAAGAGTAAGTACTTTTGTGCAGTGCTTTCATAATAAGAAACATGTATTTTTTTCATGTGCCCGAATAGGATTTCCCCTCACCTCGACAACAATTATAAAAGCCATTTTGGCAGCAATCACATGCCAGTAGTGCATGTTGTACTGATATTGTCTGGGGTGTCCAGGAGGAAACCGAAAGTCTCGATACCTTAAGAGGAAAAATATATTTTAGTTTGCCCTTCAGGGTGAAACAATGAGCTTTTTTTCCATTACTTATACAGGAACTATCAGGAGAGCCAATAAAATATCCAAAACTATTTCTAAGTTTTAGATATTTTTCACTGCTGAACAAAAGTGTTCAAACATAGGTCGGGTTTTGCAGCATTTTTCAGTATGAGATTAAGCTAGTGTGAGAAAAGAAGCATAAGAACCAGACGCTGCACCTGCAAATGGTGATGTTTTGAGGTCGCTCCACTGCATCGGTGACTGTTTTCTTACTGAAATTACTGGTGTTGAAATAAGACAGGGAGCTGTTGATGAAGCCGCTCATGGTGTGGTTACCGTAACCTTCCTCCACAGAAAATGACCAGTAGTAAACCATCCGTGGAATTATGTCGGATGTAAACGCAATGATCATGGCCTGTAGAGACATCAACGCAGCATCCAAGTTAAATGAAAAAAGTTTTTTTTTTGTGCATGCATTCAATTATTGTAAATGGGACTCTTTTTTCCCTGCACATTATTTCACGTCATAAATAAAAAGTGCTAAAATCCAACTTACATTTGTTACTACTGCCAATATGGCAATGCTTTGAAGAATGGGCTGCCAAGCTCCAATGTCCCGGGCTTTCTCAGGCAGTATGCGTCGAAACTGAGTTGTCATTTTCCAAGCGTCGACTCGGATCTCGATAATGTTGTTGACCAGAGCCAGAAACGGAGCCAGAGGAAAAGAGGCCACGAACAGCGTCACGAAGCCAAACTGGATCACTGGGAAGAACGAAAGACGCGACGAGGTTGAGATCCTGCAGCGATTCATGTGGCTCCATGTCCACATGAATCACAAGGTACAGACTCATGTTAGATTATACTCAGTATAATATTCTATTTAAAAAAGTATTTTTACCCATCTCAAGATATTCATAGAAGAGCCCGAGTTTTGTGAAGGGCTGAAGCTCAAAGTCTTGCTCCCAGCGAGGTTGGTTTATCTTCTTCACCCGGGTGCAGTAGCGGAAGATCAGATTCTTAACCCACCTGTGAAGCACCGACAACGTTTGAGCTTAAAAATGTTGCAGTATATTGTTGGCAGACAAAGAGGCAGATTGTTTTCAACAAAGACATTATAAAAGAGTTTGGTTGCTCAGGAACTGGAAATATGGCGGCCATCTTGGAGTGGTCGTCCCTCCTACTCTGCTAAACCAAAACAGGAGAAGAAGCCTCAGCGCGGCTGGATATTTCTGTTCATATCGATGGACTATTGGCAGTAAGGCTCTGGGGTCAACTTTTCACAAGTAAGATGGACATATTATTCTTCCTATTTTTTAAATAGAATATTATTATAATGTATTTATGTCCGTCAGTAAAATGCCAGCTAATATTAGCTATAGTGCTTGTGATAATAACAGTGTTCATCTGCCTCTATGAAGGCTAACCGATACCTCATGAATCTTAAAACATTTTAATTATTCCCCAAAATTAACTTAGATTGCATGACACAAGAGTGCTACCTTACAAATAAAACAATGTTGTATTATTTTAAATATATCCAATGTAATAACGTTCACCATCCAAGTTTAAGTCTGTGGTTTCTGGTAGCTGTAAGAAGAGTTGGTTTATTGCGATTACTTACGGCAGCAGGACCTCTTGGATGTTGTTCCAGATTGCTTTCCCTCCCATGATGATGGCGAGCTGAGTGGTCAGCTCAATCAGACAGCCACCGGGATCACACTGGACAAGACGCAGCAAAACATTTGTAACTTCACATGAACAGATCGTTTCGCATCCAGTCTCACTGAAACAACAACAAAAAAGAATATTTTTCCAAGAAACTGAATATCACCTCCTCGTTCCGATATTTTTCCATGAGATAAACAGGTTGTCCGGGGTGGCCGACTATCTTTCCCTTTACAAAAGCAATGTAGAAGCAAGAGGAGTAATAGTTGACGAACTGGAAGAGGAACATCTTCAGCGTCAAGCTGTTCTCGTAGTCCGTTCTGGTCCGAGGAAGCTCTGCCGACACGTGGAAGATTGAATTAAAAACAAGTTTGATTCTGGGAGGGAAACAAAAGCACAAGTATGAGACGGACTCACCATAATCCGTGATCCAGATTGCAACCCGCTCGTAAAGAGTATTGAGGATCATGATCACAACGAAGTTGATGAGGCCGGCTGTGACAGAGGTGGCCATCTGAGGCGTTACGTACTCTTTTATTGGCTCCAGAGTAGTAAAATTGCCTGGGTTTTTTAGTTTGATTGACAGGGTAAAGAAAACAGCCAGTCGGTAGATAATGATGGCCACGATGGACGCCAGGATCAGCATGATCTGAAGGACGAAAAGCAAATAGATTGTTGTACATCACCAGGTGAAGAAGTTGGCTGTTGAAAATGCAGAGTCAAGACCAGACATGTGAAACTACAAGTATAAGACACATATATAAATGTCTGTGAATTATTTGTTATATTTTAAAAGGTACAGGCACTGTTAAAAATTAAGTAGCAATAATTTTAATTAGATTACCCAGAACAGGACTGTCCCAATCCCTATTGAGATTCGAAAACATCGTCCACAGAATGTAAATGGCACCATCTCTTTCACCTACATCACATAAACACACTTTAGTAGGATATGGTTCGTATCGTCAACAGAATTAGCTGCCATTTAAGATGTTTTTTCTTT